AGAGTAATCTCTCCGGTAGTTAGGCCATTTTGAGAGTAATCTCTCCAAGAATTGGGTCGCATTGAGAGTAATCTCTCCAAGAATCGGTCCATTTTGAGAGTAATCTCTCCAAAAATTGGGCCACATTGAGAGTAATCTCTCCAAGAATCGGGTCATTTTGAGAGTAATCTCTCCAAGAATCGGGCCATTTTGAGAGTAATCTCTCCAAGAATTGGGCCACGTTGAGAGTAATCTCTCCAAGAATCGGGCCATTTTGAGAGTAATCTCTCCAAGAATTGGGCCACATTGAGAGTAATCTCTCCAAGAATCGGTCAAGGATGAGTACCCATCCCCTCACACCCCAAGATTGTCTTCTTCATGCGTAGATCATCTTGTTGAACAAGAGCATATCTTTCTCGCTTGACCTACAAAAAAAAAAGAATAACAAAGGAAGAAAAGCACAAAAAAGGAAGAAGAAATTACCTTCGCGTCAGTGCCTCTAAATCATCAAAAGTAGACTCAAACCAATTTGCAAACGCTGAAATTGATACTGATGGAATGAAAGGTGTATGGTATTTATAGATGACGGAGGTCGGCAGTCAAGGATTTGTTTCGATGTGGGATATTAGTAATCCATCCCCGAAACGAATTTGAAGTCTATTGAGGCGGCGCTCCTTTTCCTAGGCAGAGTAGAATCCTTTTCTTGTTATAATTTCAATTGGAATAGGATTTGGCTCTCTATCTCCAATTTAATTGGTTGCTGCTAGCAAACGATTCGGTCTTCCATGTTTGCACGAGACACTGTGCATGAATATAGCTTTATAAGTATATACTTCCTTAAATAAGGAATGCAATATCTTTGGCTAGATGGATTGCGATTTCTACGTTGGCCTACAAGTCAGAACATGACTTTTATTGACATTCTGCCAAAGTCCACGTGAACCCTTCTAGAAACGAACCAAGTGTTTGGATATTTGGCCATATGTATTGAAAGCTCATTCATGCAGAATCTACTATCTCAATTTTTTGAAGTAATGCATGAGTACATCTACAGTGAACTTTAAATTATATATAATATATTAGTTCGTGATACTTCAAGTCTGGTCTTCGAAACTCGACATATTTATGCCCGACAAGTCTTGAAGTATGGGGCATTTGTAGGCATATGAATTTTACTTAAAATTAATTCCATAAAATAATTTGGATTATATTTTAAATTCAAGATAATATTGGTCCAAATAAATATTATAGGCTAATATAATTGAATTAATTATATAAATCAAATATATATGGATTAAATAAATATGTCTTAATCCATTGGACTAGCCCATTTAATTGGGCTAAAGTGATGAGTCCACTTCATTAAGCCCAAGATGACATCTTCCTAGAGGCCCAGTTTGGTGCCACATGTCAAATGACGTGGCGCGCCAAGTCAAATGGAAGAGCCAATAGGATCATGCCACGTGTCAAAATGACAAGGCATACCAAGTCACACTAAAAGGCCAATGAAATCGCGCCACGTGTGCAAGTGACATGTTCTGGCCAATCGAATGCGGCCATGTCACACTGCAATTTGATTGGTCGGAAAGAGTTTGTTCTTATCATAACTCCTCCCTTCCACAACTATAAATAAGGGTCTTCATAACTCAGAAAAGGGACCAGAAGTTATAACAAGAAGCAAGAGAGAGCTCGTGGATCAAACGCCGCAAATTTCTCTACAAGTTTCAGGCTTCAAGCAACCAAGTTCAAGTTCAAGAAATCAAGTTCAAGTTCAAGCAATCAAGTTCAAGCTCAAGAACCAAGAACAATTCAAGTATTCAAGAATCAAGAACGAAGTCAAATCAAATACAAGGCGTTCAAGATCAAGGCTACTTGTTTGTGATAAAATTCGTGGCAACAATCAAAGTGTTCGCGACGGATAAATCAAATTACAATTCAAGATCAAGCTCAAAGACCCTTGAATTTATACTAGAAAAGTAGAATCAGAGGAATCGTAGAGATTGTACACTCAAATATTCGAAATAAAATACTACGATTGTTGCGATATTTTTCGGTCTTGATTTTATTTTCTTGACGCAAATTTATTGTCTACAAATTGCTTAATATCAGTTCAACACTTCTATTCAAACACGTAAATACTTATTTAACAAATCAGTTTCGGTACTTAAAAATACTTTTCAACACTCCAAGCTTATCGACTATTCACAGTCCGCTAATTCAAACCTAAAATCAACTAAAAGGACACCTTGAAGTTGTGCATTCGATATTGGTCCAGAAAGGAATGAATGCAATAGTCATAAACTGTTTAAATATTTGACTAATTTTTGGGTCGATTTCTTTGTTTAATTAATGGGATAACCACAACTCAAGAGGGTATTTACCATCAAAGTAGACCATAAATGGTGATTTAGAATGTCCAGATGAATGTGATTAGTAGTTTCAAAAGAGACTAATCCCTATTAGTAAGGGCTAAGTGTTTGCTGTTCCATAAAAAATTGCCTAAAAAACCTCACAAATTGTTTATGCAGTTCATGCACAAGTTGAATTTACTCTATTGATTGTCAATTATTTTCCAATATGTCCTTGAAATTTGGAATCATCGTTCATTCTAACAAATGTTTCCACCCCAACTCCAAAAGAAAATTGAAATAAATTTATGAAAAAACTGAGAATGCATGTTCATTTATAGGGCTAAAAATTTATTAAAATATTTCTGAAATATTTTTTTTTCCAGTTTTTGAAATAAATGCCGTCATTCAAATATTCAATTGCGTTGCGTCCAGGCATATTGCAGGTCTCTTTTTTTTTTTTTTTTTTTTTTTTTTTTGTTGGTTTGATCATATTGCAGGTCTCATAAATTGGTAATAGAACCTGAGTCATAAATTTGTAGGTTTAATTCTTAATTAAGAACAACAATCGTTTCTTGTTATCCACTCCTTTTATTATTTTAGTACTCCTATTTCCTTTTAAGTTTTAGGGGCTTGGATGGGTTCATTGACTTTACACAATTTCCTCTTCGCTTGTTTGTCATTAGTAATCCCTTAAACATTTTTTTTCTTCTATTTCATCATTTATTTAATTAAGTTTATATTTACCAATAAACACAGCCTTTCATTGAATCCCGGGGTATATTTCATCTCAAAGGGCGAGTGATAATTCAATATAACAGAAAAATAAAATTTGAATAATAATATTTAATGTCAATCGCCCAAAAAAAAAAAAATGAAATTGAAAGTGAACTTATAATAAACCATTGCCTTTTTCAACCCTATGGCACATTTCATCTCAATGAGCGAGTGTTAATTCATTAAAACGAGAGGCGTATACAAAATTTAAATTCTATGGGTTCAACTTTTACGTTACTAGCATTAAACTCATTGTATTTTCGAAAGTACTGGGTTCAGATGAACCCGACAACAATATGCTGCATTCGCCTCTGATTAAAGCGTGAAAATAAAATTAGAACATTAACGCAAAAAAAAAAAGTTTGAAATTTAAAAGTGAGATTATCAATAACTCTATATTTTATCGAATGCATGTTTACATGTGATAGAGAGAGTGTTTAATTTAACAAAGCATGAAAATAAAATTTAAAAGTAATATTTCAATGTCTAAGCGCAAAAACATTAAAGTTTAGAACATTATAAAGCGGTAATAAAACCTTAGTCATAAATTTGTAGGTTTAAATCTTAATTAGGAACATCAATCGTTTTTTTGCTATCCATTCCTTTTATTATTTTGCTATTATTATTATTCCTATTTCCATTTAGGGGCTTGGACAGGTTCATTGACCTTACACAATTTTCTCTTCACTTATAGTTGTCATTAATAATCCCTTAAATGTTTTTTTCCCTACTTGATCCTTTATTTAATTAAATTTGTATATACCAACAAACACAGCCTCCTATATAACTCAATTCCAAAAATAAATAAAAAAAATTGAACGATAATATTTAATTTCGAAGCACAAAAAAAATTTACAATTCAAAAGTGAACTTATCAGTAAACCATTGCATTTTTCAACCCTATGGCACATTTCATCGCAAAAGAGAGAGTATTAATTAAATAACGTGCGAAAATAAAATTAGAACATTAACACAAAAAAAGTTTAAATTAAAAAGTGAGATTATAAAAAAACTACTCCATCTCAAAAAAACATTATCAATAAACTACTAGTATATATTTTATCAAATAAATGTTTCAACTCAAATAGAGAGTGTTAATATAACAAAGCATGAAAATAAAATTTAAAAGTAACATTTTAATATCTAAGCGCAAAAACATTAAAATTAGAAAGTGAAGTTTTCTATAAACCATTGCCACTTAGGATATATTTCATCTCAAGGAGAGTATTAATTCAACGAAGCATGATAATAAAATTTGAAAATAAAATTTTTAATGTCTAAGCACAAAAAAGTTTGAAATTAAGAGCCCGTTTGGTCATGCAAATTTTTTCACATTTTTTCGAAAATTAGTGTTTAGCCATAAAATTTTCAATTTTCACTTGAAGATGAATTTGTAATTTTTTGAAAACTTGAAAAACTCCAAAAAGTTGTTTTTTTTTTAAATTTTCATCCATAGCACTCACAAAAATTTAAAAACAACCCAAAATTATATTCATATCATGTCCAAATACAACTCTAATTCTAAAATACCATTTTCACTTATTTTTTATTTATTTATTTTACTTTTTTTCGGAATTTTACAATTTGTTTGTCGAAATGCCCACCAAAAAGTGAGCTGTAAAATTAAAAGCTAAGAAGAAAGGAAGAGGTAAAAAAGTAAAAAGAAAAAAAAGAAGTCTATTGTCGGATAAATTAATCAGGAGTGGAATTAGTAAAAGAAGGCCTTTTTCTTCTTTTTTATTTTTTGTCATTTGGCAGATATTTAGAAGTTTAAACTTGGCTCTATCCCGCTCTCACGCTCCAAACCCCACCCCCTACCCCACCACACCACCTACATGTGTACAGTCCTAGTGGTGTTATATATCTAAACATTACTCACTCTACACACTTCCACTCTCCTCCACTGGACCACAGCTGCAAATTTCATTTTAATGGCCGATCGGTGTTGAGAGAAACCCTAGCTCTGTTACCGAGGAACAGCCATTAGAACGCTCTCTCAGAGCTCATAATTTATTTGTTAATGCAAAGTAAGCTCAGCTCCCATGCATACATTATTTGCAATTTAACACATACATACATTACATGTTCCTATGTGCTTGTGCTTATATACGGACATGTATTCTGTTATGTATATAATCAAGCAGACTAGGTGCAACGTACCACTTGCATTGTACTCTTTTTTGTTGAAATTTTGAGCTCCAGGTGCGGATTCCTCGAGAATTGCTTCGATCTGTCTTATTTGCAATTTAATTCAGTTTTTTTTTCTTCATGTTTTTGTTTTTCGGAGTTTCAGTCTTTGGATTCAGCAACTTCAATTTTTTTTGGTTTAGTTTTATTGTTTTTTTTCATTTTCTTGAGGTAGGCAAGTTTTCTCTTGAAAATTTTGTGTTCTCTTTAATCCTGGCCAAAAAAACATAATTTTCCGTTTTAGTTTTGAGATTGTCATTTCTGATGGAGGAGTTATCCGGTTGTGTTCGGAGAGATTTATCCTGCTACTGTCAAAAAATATAGGAAATTTTCCAATTTAAAAATTACTTTTGGTTTATAAGATAATCCACCAAATATTACATTAACTGAAGATTTTTCTAGTATCATTTTAGCTTTGTTCCAAAGGTTAATAAATTGTACCCGGTGACACAGCTTAGAACCTTAGGTGAATAAGATCTCTTGTTTTATTCAGTTATCTGAAAATATATTTGATTTATGGATAACGATTAATGAAATATGTTAAGTATGTATGTCATTTCTCTTTCTGAATTTTTGGTGTTATCAAGTCTTTGTACAAGGCATAGATGGACATTATCATCTTGATTAGTGCAATGCACGAATTGTAAAACTCTTTCAACAGCACAATCTTTGTGCTGTTTTGATTCTAATAAAATTCTTAAATAAAAATAAAAATAATAATAATGGTATCTTACTGTCTGTCTCCATATGTCATATGTGATCCATTCAACTTGATGTGGAAACATGCTAATTTTTGAAATGAACTCTATGACAACTGGTGAAGAAAAAGAAAATCTCTATGCACAACTAAATATGCTACTATAATTATCATTAAATAATTTGCATTGTATATTTGAAACATAGCTCTTTTACTGCTCAAGATCCGAGTTCTATTTTAATTTAATGAAGAGTTTAATGCAGGCTTGATTTTCTCTGGCGAGAAGAACATGATTGCTGCTTATTTATTTATACCTCTAGAACTGCATCGGAATGTAATACAGGTGAGTTCCACTCTTTCAAAAGTGAATACGTATGCTGTGTATGTGCTGTCATTTTTTGTGATATTCGTACTATTTTGATGATCTTGAGCCATAAAGAACTGAAAAAGCAGATATGAAATAGCGTCACCTCACTTGACAGTTTGTTGTATAGTTGGTATTTTTGATGAAAGGATATGTCGGTTGTTGTGTTTGTAACGCTTTCCCTTTATTGCTTCTCTTCAGATAATTCCATTCCGTTTTGAATATGGATATATAATAATATATTTCTTTCCTAGTTGGCTCCTGGTCGATCAAAAGAGAGAAAGAAAGGGTTCTTTTGCCTAATTGGCAGATGCGATTGTGAATTTAGCCCATGGTACTATCTAGAGATATAAATTTTTTTTCCATTTGAGCTCTGTTACAGGCTTGGACCTTTGTATTCTTAATGTCTTCTTAAGTAGATTGCTAGTTGGTCCTTGTTATTGTGTGATTGATCATTATATTGGAAAAATATAATCATTATGAAGAAACAGCATATGACTGCTTGATGACGGTTGGAACAAGTCATTTTATTACAAAAAGAAAAACAAATATTGCATCCTATGTGGTATGATGGCAGAAGTTGAGTAAAGTTCGAGAGCTAATTACCAGTACTGCCTTTTGGTAAGTGGTTCATATTTCATTATGTGCTCTTGAGAATATTAGCATCCAAATCTCGTTCATGATGAACTTCTCTAAGTATTTCACTGGTTCTTCACTTCTTTTCTAGCTCAACTTCAACATTGTCCTTTTATCAGATTATGGATCCTAAATTAGAACTGATTTTGGGGTTTAAAATTTCTAAAAATTGCACTGATCGTGGTTTCTATTTCAGGTTTCTATTTTAGGGTAGACTTGGTGCTTCAATACCAATTGCTCCATTTAGCATAGGCTGCATATAGTTAGCTAACTATGATAGCTCCTATTTGAATCTATCAAAGCAGTCGATTATGTTTCCATTGATTGATCTTCTCAATTACGAGCTCCCAAATTCAGCTTGTGGTTGACAGTGGCCATGGTATATTAAATAGTCGAGCATTTTAAACTGATCATGCATTCCTGGTTCTCTTCTTATATGTCAATGATACTCTTTTAGCTTTACTTTGGTGTATCTGAATTCGCTAGGAGATAATGCTTATCTCTATCATACTTTTATGGTCCTTTATTGGGGCTAATTCCAAAAGGAAATCTTTCTGGTACATGTTTATATTAATCAAGTTTTTCTGGCCATGGTCTTGATGTTTTCGGTCCGTGGTATCTGTATTTGCTTCTAGATGGTCTTCTTTTCTTAAATTCTTTTTCATTGTGCCATATTTATTTCATGTGTATTTTTGGTAACGGGATGTTGATTCTGCAATTGTAGTTTTGATATTAGGTGTGTCATCGAGTTCAACGCACTTTCTGCTCGATGAGGCATGCAAATATAAAACATGGATCTTTTCATCTTGAAGAGCACAATATGCGAATCACACGAGCACGAGCAAGAGTGTCGGGTTCATCAGGACGATTACCACCCCTACACCCATCCACAAAACAGGATAAGAAGCAGGCATTGGGAGCAGAGTCCAAAAGATCGAAAAGATCTGCCTCAGATGAGAACAGACCTGGTACCTCTAGTATTGCTACTGGTGTTCAGCCTAAGAGAAGGGCTGTTCTTAAAGACATGAAGAATGTACTTCATGAGAACTCTCACATGAATTGCATCAACGGAAGCAAAATTCAGGTTTTCATTTTTGTTGACACACAATGTTCCCCATTTGGAAATAAAAATAATTGTGTTATATGAATTGCTTATCTAAGTGGTGTTTTCTGCGTCTTAGACTGGATCTTGTGCTTAATCTTACTCTGTCTCAAAATTACCACCGGCTTGTGGTCAAATATGTTCATATTGGTGATAGGTTAAGAAAGGCTCCGATAAAAGGAACAATAAGGCGAAACCTGCTGTTTCTCTAAAATTGTCACAGCTCCAAGAGAAAGGAAAAGAGGATATAGCTGATAAAGTAAAGAAAGTGAAGGTTGAGGGATCACAAGAAATCAGTTCGGGGGCAAACTGCAAGGAGGATATGTTACCACAGCTAAGTAGATATGTCACTCCAGCACAATGTGGTTTAGTCCATCTAGTGCCTGTGAACAGAAGTTCCTGCAAGGCCTTCCCACTTCAGAATGTAATGAAAAAAGGTTTGATGTTGTCTGTCATCGTGCAAGATATAAAAGCATTGAAAATTTAATACATTGTCTATCCTTTTAGCTTTTTAAATAGATTAATGTGATACAGCCATGGTGGGGCTAAAATGCCAGCTTATTTTTAGTTTAACAAATGCTGGGCTGTCTTCAAATTATTATAGTTGCTCTCTGTTCTGTGACATGGATCAGAAGTTAAGTACTTAATCAGCCAACTTTTGCTGGAAATTGTCTCATTCTGAATAGGGAAATTTACCACTATCTGTCCTGCTGCAACAGGTTTATATGTAATATATTTATGTTTGATCCTTGATGCATTAGAGTCTTTTATTATCGTGAGAAGCCTACTAGCTTGTTAGATCAGGTTCTATTCTCCAAAAGTGAACAAAGCATGCATATCCTGCGAAAACTAGGTTCAGTAACAAAGTAATCCAACGGGTTATGCTTCCTGGTCTCGTTCTGGCATCTCATTATCATATTTGATGGATTCTAATTATAAGCCAAAATTTTGTGTACCAGCTGTAGGAAGCTATTTATATTTCCCCTTGGGCTACTGAGTTTTTTGCAATAGATAGATAGAACTTTCCCTCCAGTTTGCTCCTTTTTAGCCTTTGCATTGAATTGAAGTCTCAATATGTTAATTCGTTGAACTTTCCTGTTCTCATGCCCACTTGTTCTGTAGTGTATGGTAAAATGACACTTGGATGAATAAGAGATTGAATAGCTGGTAAAAAAGGGAAAGAAACTTGTTAGTCTGCCTTATCTTCTGCAATGACCTCCAAAAAACTCTAATCATCTGTTCATCAGGTGAAACTTTACTCTATCATATCCTTTTGTGAAGCTGCTAAGTTTCTTTCTGTTGCATCATGCAGATGAAAGCAAAGTTTGCCAGAAACAAGAAGGCTTTGCTAATCTAGGAATTGCTGATATTGATTCAAGACACAAGGATCCACTGATGTGTAGTCTGTATGCTCCTGATATTTATAACAACTTGCATGCCATTGAGGTACATACGAATGTTTCTTCAATGACTGTTATACTGCTGATATGCAGGGGCGGATTTACCCTGGTTAAAGCGCTTCGTCGAATTTTTTTATTAAATATATATATAGCAGTAATTTGCTAAAGAAAAAACATGTACAAGTAAAATAAAATGACACCACTTACTCAAAGCAAGCTAATTGGTTCACTGGTTAATTACCTGAAATGTGAGGCAGGGGTCGGGAGTACGAAGCCCAGCAGCTTCGTTCCTTTCCTTTTAAATTTTTGAGCAACACGTTTGCTTTAAATTTTTGAGCAACAAGTTTCTCTTTTTCCAGAAGCAGCGTACTTTTTATATTAATTAGAGTTAGATGCATTGTAGGATACAATTACTCAATGAGAGCTTTTTTGGACGTTGCTACTGCTACAGTTGAGAGAGCTTTTTCGACAATGAAGTTGATTAAGACCGATTTGCGGAGTCGAATGGATGATGAGTTTTTGAGTAGTTGTTTGGTGCCTTATATAAAAAAGGATGTATTTAGTCTTATTGCTAATTCGGTTATTATGAATACCTTCCAAAATATGAAAACTCGGCGAGGAGAGTTATAGTAAGGTAATTATTTTTTAAATATGATGTCGTTACTATATTTGTTTCTTTATCTACTTTAAATGTCAACACCACTTATGAAAAATCCTGCGTACGTCCCTGCTGATATGTGATCATACACAGCATCATGCCACTCTGGTGGTACAAATAAAATCAATGTTCTGTAACCTACAATCAGTTACTATAACTTATCTTGGTTCTAGTGCAATGATATCATGGATAATTAAAGGGATTAAAATGACATACCCTGTACACATCATGGATAAAAAAAACAATAATTTTTCACTTTGAACAATTTTAAAAGATGTAGCTGTCCTTTTCTTTGCCAAACAAAGGAAGAGCTATATCGTTTTACTAGTGAGCCCAAATTCTCTCTTCTCCACTTTAAAGCATTGATGGATTTTTCTTTCCTGCAGTTTGACCGTAGGCCTTCTGTTGATTACCTGGAAAAGCTGCAGCTGGACATTAACAAGGGTATGCGAGGTATTCTGATTGATTGGCTTGTGGAGGTCAGTTAACTTACTTTGGATGTATTACCAATGATTTAAAATTTTCTTCTCACATCTCTTACCAAGCACTATCTTTTTTAATAGTTTACTACTTTTTCTTGGACCTTTTTGTTCTCTAGCCTTAGATTGATCAGTCTTTACTGAACAGGCATTATCAACTGAAATGTTTGCTTCATATCCAAGTTTCATCATCTTTGTTTAATATTTCCTTTTTACTACCCATCTTTTTTTTCCCATTTTGAGATATTTACAGAAGAAGCTTTCCTTGACCAAAATTCTAGTATTTGAGAAACAGCATGCAATTAGACTGCAGTATCATTTGTGCATGTTTTTAGTAGGACTGGCATATGGGATTCATAGTTTGATAGTTTTATCAGTTTCTCCCTCCCTGATTTTCTTTCATATTTGGTCCAACCCAAAAAACTTGATCTCTTTCTTTATTGCAAAGTTTTTCTATCTTCAACAATTCGAACTATTATAACTAGTATTAATTTTATTTTGTCTAAAGACATGATATAACATCTTATCAACTATCTCACTTCTTGAGCACTTTTTTGCCAACTTCAATACAATAAATTCAAATATCTTATTATTAACAACCGGACCCCCCGCGCATAGCGGGAGCTTAGTGCACCGGGCTGCCCTTTGCAAGTCCAAATCAGTTCTACTTTATTTTCACTATCTTACAATATCATTACATGTTGATCATCAATATCATTTGCAGGTTTCAGAAGAATATAGGCTGGTTCCTGACACACTTTACCTAACTGTTAATCTTATTGACCGGTTCCTATCTGAAAATTACATTGAAAAACAAAAGCTGCAACTACTTGGAGTTACCTGCATGCTAATAGCTTCGTAAGTTCTTGTTTCTGACATTATGACAATTTGAACATCTGGCCCCACTTGCTTCTGACATTCATATTTAAGATGACCGGGCATCAAGAGTAGGCCCTTGGAATGGGCTATCTTCTGGTTGCCTGCCTGTGTAAATTCTTGCTGCACTTTTGTGTTATCTAGCTTGTGGAAGATGATTGAAATATTGTCAGATTATAGGGTAGAAAGTATAGGATTTACTTTCAAGAGCTTAGTTGATTTCATAAACATGCCACAAACTTCTGAGCATGGATTGTGGTTAAACTGAGTTCTTTTTCTCATTTTTCTCAAGAAGATAAATAGTGTCCCAACATATAAATGTACCTACCTTCAGCAAAAGAGAAACTAACTGAATCTGCATTTATTCAGTGGCTCTTTTCTGTAGTACTAAGATTTTCTGTGTCATTGCACTTAATGTTGCAGCAAATTTGAAGAGATTTGTGCACCTCGTGTTGAAGAATTTTGCTTCATTACAGATAACACTTACTCGAAGGAAGAGGTATCCATTTTTTATGTTAATATACTTTATCGTCATCATCTCTTTGGTCTGTGATTTGCGCAGGTCATTTATACAACCCAATGATATTGTGTTCCAGAGTTAGTCCTACTGAGTACTGATCAAGTTTCCTAGTAAAAGCTGATCCTTATGCAACATTGTAACCATTTGTCAGTATGTTTGTTGTTACTTGCAAAGTCAACCTAACATTCTTTTCTATTAAACTTGTCTGTATTGCTTAATTTTTCCATATTAAGCTGATCTTCCACAAGGCAAAATTATCTAGTTGCCTTCTTGATTTTTCCCACTTGGATATACTTCTTCCTAAGGACTTAAACTTCCTAGGTTTCAGCTTATTTGCGCTGTCCATCTTCAGTCGACTGACATAAACTTTGTCATGTGGATGTGTAAAGGCCATAATTACATCGTATTGCAGGTAATAAAAATGGAAAGCAGAGTCTTGAACCTTTTGAGCTTTCAACTTGCTTCTCCAACCACTAAGAAATTCCTGAGGTAATACAATTTGTATCATCTGCTAGTAATTTTTACTTTAGTATGGTACATTGAAAGTAAGCTTTTCATTCTGGCATTGTTCATCCTCGCTTTTAGGAGATTCATTCAAGCAGCTCAAGCTTCTTACAAGGTATGAGATAGCACTATTTTGCCCGACATCATGATAAGGATGCTTATATGTAAATAATTGCTCCAACCGGCAGGTTCCCTCTGTCGAACTGGAATTCATGGCAAATTATTTAGCAGAGTTAACACTTGTTGACTATGGGTTTCTTAAGTTTCTTCCATCTCTTACTGCTGCATCAGCTGTATTTCTAGCTAGATGGACGCTTGATCAATCTAACCACCCATGGGTATGCATCTTTTAATCTCCTTGATACTATTCGTCTTCCGTTCTGCATTTGAATGCAACCATGAAATGACTCTGGTGATGTATCACAGAATCCAACTTTGGAACACTATACCAGATACAAGGTATCAGAGCTTAGAACTACAGTTTTTGCACTGCAAGAGTTACAGATGAACACCAGTGGCTGCACCCTCAATGCCATACGTGAAAAATATAGACAACCAAAGGTAAACAACTACTAAGTCACATTTTGCTAATCACCAGCTTATGCTAAGAAATTCAAACTGCCTAACGGACAAGATATCTGTAGTGGAATGTCTGCACCAATTCAGAAACAAACCTCATGATAGTTATGAGGATACATTTCAAACACAACCTTTCGGATTATACCTCAAATATCAGCTGTTCAATGTTTTATGCATATAACTAAACTTCTTGTCATGTTGACAGTTCAAGTCCGTGGCTACTTTAGCAGCTTCAAAACCAGTCCAATCACTGTTCTAAGAAGAGCTCGTATTCCATCTGCTTGGCCAGTTCAAATGTTGTGAATACATCCTAAATCTCTCATATTAAGTCAGACTTGCATGGAAATATCCCATAGTGTCAATCGCCAAAAGAGCCCTCATTTTGTTTATTCCTCTTCCAAGGTTTAACTGCTGTATCATTCTAGATTCTAATGAGTTCAAGGTACTAATAGATTATTAGGTGGAAATGTGAAGGCTTAGTTGAAGTAAAGCTGTTAATTTAACAGAACATTAGTAGAAAAGAAGTTAACAGTAACCGATAGCTACTTGCTATCTTGTAGTATGACTTTCGAGCTTACTGAAAGCTCCAGTTGTAAAATCGTTCTGAAACAGACATTTCTATTCTTTTAGTCAATAAATTTGTTCATGTTAAATACTTGACTAGTGTTGGTCTGTTGGATCTACTTTTAAATATAAGAAATTGGGTTGAAATGTGGTACTCCATTTTTAGCTTCCTGACCCTAAACGTTTGTTGATTTTTTTTTGGGGTTTTGACAAAGTTACCCACAAAAACAAAACTATTTACTCTTGTCTACTCATTTGTTTTCCTACCCATAAACTAATTACATTTCCTGCCCATAGTAGGTTCTTGTAGGGAATTTTTTTCTTTATTCTCCAATTCTTTTTTATTTCTATGCTTCTTTTCTTTTCTTTTTTATTTTTTTTCTTTTCTCCTTTTCTTTTTTCTCATTTTCTTCTTATTTTTTTCTTTTTTCATTTTCTAATTTCATTTAACTTCTTTTTTTATATTCTTTTTCTCTTCATAATCTAGTTTCATTTACTGTTTTCATAATTTTTTGTTATTCTTTTTTTTTATATATTATTACTAAATAAAAATCAAATTGTGTACCAATTAAATGTAGCTAATACAATCAAATAAATATTAACTAACATATGATACAAGTATAGTATATAACTATACCAATAGGGTATACAATTGTACGCTAAGAGTTAAAAAAAATTCAATTCAATTATTAAACTAAAATAATTTCAGTTGTCAATAAAAAATTCAAAAAATTCTAAAAGGATCTAATTGTAAGAGTATATTGTTATGTTATATAGCATACTATAATTTTTTTTTTTTTTTTGCATTTTCAAATTGCTCTCACGCTGGGTCAAAGCTTAAAATAAATTAAAAGGGAAAAGGCAAGTGAATTTACGAGTAATAAGTATACTATTATAGTATATTGTATACTATTACAGCATATTGTTACAGTATCTTGTATATTATTACAGTATACCATAATAATATATTGTATACTATAATGGTATATTGTTGCAGTATAACTATATACTCCTATAGTATATTAATATACTGTAGCGGTATACTGTTTTGTAAACTATAATAGTGTACTGTTGTAGTATAGCTATATACTCCTACAGCATATTGTATACCGTAGCGGTATACTGTAGCTGTGTTCTTCTTCGATTTTCAACTGAAAATTTCGATCTCAATCACCTCAAATCAGCTCCAAATGCTATCAAATTTCAGTATGAACTTCTAGAAGGTACTATAAGCAATATTTAACATCACCCACTTTGAATCAAACAAGAAATCTTCAAAAATAAAATTGAGCTTCAAGCCCAACAATGGTGGATAATGGAAAGATTCTCAAAGGATGATATTAGCATGGGACCAGAGACGTAAATTGCCGAGACTTCTGTAAATGCCATACCCACAAATATTATTACTGCCACACAAAACTAAGGATATTCTTTTGGAGTTTGAATCTCTATTTCACCACTTGAGGTTCTCTTTCAAGATTCCTTATTTGCGGGAACTATTTTATTAAAGTTCGTACTCAACAACTAAAGCCCTTAATATTTAATTGCATGCCATAAAAAAAAATTATGAGGTTGTTGGACAAGATAATAGAGAAAAGAAGAAAATCCAAAGAAAAGTTTGATGATTTTCTAGCTCAGCTTTTGTTTGCGTTGATCCGATCTTACAGTAAAATAGCACGGGCTAGGCAATTTTCGAACTGATCATTTAAAAATAGCCAGCGTTTGCAAAGTCATTGAAAAATAACCACTATTTTGCTGCAACACGGAAAGTTCCAGCATAATATACTGGGGATCGATGCACCTGTTTATGAACTTCCAACATATTATGCTGGAACTCCAACACGCGGAAAGTACCAGCATAATATACTGGAGATTGGAGCACCTGTGTGTGAACTTCCAGCATATTATGCTGGACCAGTATATTATACTGGAATTCCAGTATATTATGCTAGAGTTTCCGGATTTTGAACAGTGTTTTCATTCAGATTTATCTTGATATGAAAAATTGCTAAATTTCGATTACTTTTGAAACTGTAGCTATTTTTGAATGACCACTTGTAAATCTGGTTATTTTTGAAATCCTCACCTACTCCCTCCGGTCCAAAATAAGTGATTTTTTTGGTTGTTTTCACACATTGTAAGAAATTCACCTTTTAACATTAATTAGCAATGAAACTGACCCTATTAACCTTTACTATCTCTTTACATAAACACTCCTAGCACATACTCCAACATTATTTACTCCAAGGGCAACGTGAGAAAAAAATAATTAATTCATTCTTGAAATCTGGAAAAATCACTTATTTTGGACCACAAGAAAAAAACCAAAAAATCACTTATTTAGGACCGGAGGGAGTAACATCTACAATGTAAACATCCACAAAATGTGACCATTTTTTGCTTACAATTGACTATATTAATGCATTCGTTCTTGAAGCTGTGAAAGACTCTTACAGACCGCACCAGCTAAGTGATAATGTAGGCTCCATCATGAATCAGCCACTTCAGCATTAGTTCTATTTGACTTATGATATCATTATCCGACTTATAATGACACGGAACACTTGATGATCACCATGAAAACGTTAATAAAACTCTTTAACTTCCTTCAGCCAACTACTTCTATATCACAAATTTCACTAGTATAACTTTCCTTCCCTAAACATGAGAGTGGTCACTGACTTAGCTAAATTGTATTCCAATTGCACACTCGAGAGCAGAACTACAAGAATTGGAGGAAGATATTAGAGTGTTTAAATAGTTATCCTAGCTAATAATATCATGTATATAAGCTCTCACAGTTAGAGATGCTTCTTAGATAGGTAGGAACAGAGGTGGCTAGTTTTAGAGTCCAAACACAACTAGCGGATGTACATATATACAATTGGTTAAATAAAATTCTTTTTATTTTGACCACAAAAAAAAGTCGGCGATCAATCCCATAATACAATAGTAAAATCGGATACACATCAAACAAAGACAAGAACACACCTTCAAACTAATATACGATAATTAGAGGTGGCTCAAGGGGAGGCTACTAAAGCAAATCCCCTAAATTTTGGGGCCTCAAAAATATTTTTAGTTACGGATTTACTATCTTATTTTCGCTTAGACAATATTGAAGTTTATAGAAAAAGAAAAGGAAAAGTACAAAATTCTTATAAAAATGAAAAGAAAGACTATATATTTTTTAATAATAGAAATATTTTAGAACTTTGAATTAAGATACTCACACCTTCATATTGATAAATAACGTTTTTATGATAAGATCCAAAGTAACGAATTGTAAATACTTGGCTATCCTATAACTAACTTGAATTTTCTTACCAATGTGAATTTTAATATTATATTTTGTAAGATAAAGAAAGAAAAAAAGAAACCAATGTAATATTAATATTATATTTTGCAAGATAATTATACCATAAACAAAAAAATAAATAAATTAAGGTCTCTTATTAAAATTTGGCTTTAGGCCACGAGTATTATTGAGACGTCTTTGATGATAATTCAATACTAAGAATTCATCAAACTAGAGTGCGATAATTGAATACTAAGAATTTAAGGAATGCATAATGTCATGACGAGAAGCTGCAAGAAATCAATAAACACTTTAGTGATTTGATCCAAAAAATACTGGATCGACCAACGAGTCGCTTGGCCATAATCTTCGGCGAAGTACTACACTTGACAGTAGCCAAATGTTTCTTCGACTTGGCTTTTTCGATTTGTTTTTTCTTGTTGATTTGTTGCTCACAAAATTTTCACCCATCATCAATGAAAGTTCTCTCTCTATTTTCAGATCCATCTTGTTTATGTTTTCTCTTTGGCCCTGTAACTTCAACTTGACTTTTTTTTTATCTCTTCACACAATTCCTTTTCCCATGTCTGTTTTTCTTGTTCATCAAATTCTTTACTCATCAACACTGAAATCTCTCTTTCTGTTTCTATATCCAAAGTCATTTTTATCCTGTAACTTCAACTTGGCTTGTTTTATCTCTTCACACAATTCCTCTTTCCGCATCTCCTTCTTCTTGAATGATGTATAAATTGATAAGTTTTTGCTAGGATAGTATAGGAAGAGCAATTTAATACCGAGGAGCAACTTTTGTGTCGAGCTAATTAGGTGAATAGAAAAATATATATAGGCAACGATTAAGTGGTTGACACGCTTTTCGATCTTCCATAGGAATGCAGTTGTGTGTGTTGGAGAAAATATGATTCAATTTTACGACCATTGTTTTGGAAATTTGAAGACCTTCTCTTTTAGATTAAATAGGAAATGTTTGGCATGTTTTCCTATCTCCTATAGTAAAGTAATTGCGTGTTTAGAGAAAATTTGATTCAATTTTATGATCATAGTTTCGGAAACTTTAAGACCCTTTTCTTTTATGATTAAAGGGAAAGGAAAAATCCTACTTTAAGAATTAATTCTTCTAATAAAAACAATCATAGTAGATTGAGTTAGCTGAGCAATTCAATCCGAATCTAGTTTGTTCTTGAAAGCTCTTATAGATCATATCATTTTTACTTTATAAGCATATTACGTATAATACTATACACAATATTTTAGTACCAACTTATCTAGTTTGTTATTGAAACTCTTGGTAAAAGTTATGAACTCTTAAGTTCTTCAAATTGCCAACTTTCAATAAATAGTGTCGAATTCTTCTAGGAACCTCCAAAACGAAATTCAAATATACGTACAAGTCCAAAATCATCATATGACCTATTGGAACTACAAAATAGATTCCGAGTCCGTATACCCAAAAGTCTAACATTGGTCAACTCTTCCAAATTAAAGCTTCCATAATAAGAATTATTCTTTTAAATCACTCCTGAAACTCTCGAAAATCAACCAATCATACTCGAAAGTCATTAAATATCATATGAAGCTACCCAGTATCTCAAATCACATAACAAAGTGCCAGAACTCAAAACAATCAGTCGGTCATTACAACTGGTTGGGAGAAATAAGAAAAAAGGCGTGTGAAGGTGCTCTCGACGAGAGCATCTAATTTTATTTTTAAGTCTTTGAGCATAATCATCGCTCTTAGTGTTTGTCATGCCATTCCTAAAATCCACATGGACT